AACAAAGACAGAAAACCGCACAGAATAGACAGGACGAAACATTCATGAGACATTCTGTGCAGGTATTCGTCTTTGCTACCTCTTGGCAAATTGCCTGTTTCTGAGAAGTTAATTTCACACAGGCTGTCAGAAAAAAAAACTGGGAATTGATCAGCCTTGATAAATTCTCGCTGGTCAAAGCACAAATTCGACAACAGACGCTCCAGGAGTACAACAGCAGGTGAAAAAGCTCGACTTACCTCTGACTCAGCACGTCTGCCTCTTCTTCCATTTCCATAGCAACACATTCATTCTTATCGACAACCCTTAACTCCTGATGTTCAGCATTTAACCTGTTTGACTGCTTCAGTGACTGTGTGAGTGTGGTGGTACTGCAAGAGTCATTTAGAGACAGACTCAACTCCAGTAGCAAATCCACTGCTCTTTTACCCCATTTACACCTGAAGTTAAAGTGTGACAGGGGTAATCGGATTGAAATTAAATAGAGCTTGACCACACAAAAGTACAAGTTTAAATGCAACCAAGACACACTGTGGAGGGGTTGTGATCCGATCAGACAAACCACCTCCAGAGAGGCCAGGGACGCATCGTGACCACACTGAAAGTGTAAATTCATTGTCCACATCCAACAACTGGAAGCAGAAACCCCTAGATTGGCACTCAGAGCACATTCCTCAGCCGACTCCCAAAAGTCCCCTTAAATTCAATCCAGTCATACCGAATTAGAAACTCTAATAGATATCAGTTCCCTTTTTTCATCCAAGATCCATGATTTTTTTTCTGAGAACTTAACAATGTCAAAAAAACACCATATCACTGAATGTTAAAGTAAGTGAAAAATAAACAACTCCTGGATCCGCCCCCTGATCCAGATCCATATCATAATCAGGGTTCTTTCTCCAGCCATACAAAATCCTTCCACTGATAATCCGTCCACTCGTTTTTGCATAATCCCGCTAATAAACAGACAAATGAGATGAAAATGTAACCTCCTCGACTCAGGTAATAATAACGTTTTTTATCCCAACCAGATTTGTAGCAGCAATTCTCAGCTATGGACATTATTCAAGACAGGGTGGGTGAAGGCAAGTTTCAGTTTGGTCCAATGAAAGTTTAGCGAAAACCAAAAAGCAAGCAAAGCACAATAATTAAGATTCACGAATGGCTACCAGCTTCTTTTTACACTTCTTGTTCTACCTTTATTTTTGTTTTGTTTTTTTGCAACCATGCAAATGAGAAAAGAACGTGAACTAATTTGTCATTTCAGATTCATTCAAACTTGATTTTCAGAAAAAGTGTCAGCCCTTCTGGAGACACACCATGTGTAAATGTAATCTGGTTAAATCATATCTACATACAATACGAGACGCATCTTAACGCTGCATGTAAGTTGAGTCTTTGTGTGCAGAGAGATGCACATCCAAATGCACAGACACAAACACAAACACACACCAGAGATTGAATCAAACTTACATCACCAACCTTTGGTCTCTGGAGGAGACCTGGGGAAAGTGACTGCAGGGTATGGCTGAGGGGAATGGGCTGTAGAGGTTGGTGTTGGTGTGTGTGTGTGTGTGTGTGTGTGTGTGTGTGTGTGTGTGTGTTTACTGCAACTCTTCGTTACTAATTTCTGTTATTTTTCACAATATAACACGCGTCATTAATTTGCTTTGTAGAAATGTCATTTATTCTTGTTAAATGTTGTCCAGTGTAAAATGGAGAAAAAGACTTCACTCTGGGCTGTAGAAACTTACGATAAGCGTTCGTCTTCAAAGTATCCAACACAGTGTGACCTTAACATATTACTGCTGCAACTCTGCATTGTTGTGTCTTTTGTATATGTGCTTTGTGTCCTCATGTGCCATCCGTAAAATTGCCCTGCAGGGAACGGTAAAGTTTATTGAGTGAATTGAAGTGGGGTGTTAAGTGCTAGTGGAAATGTCACTGAGGGTTTGAATTCCTGTTCATCGCCATGAATGAGCGACTGCTCGCTGCCGCCGCTGCACTTCATCACACCAAAGAGCTCCACTGCCTCAATCAATGGCTCACACGCCTGATAAGTCTTTGTGTACTCAGTGGGAGGGTGTGGGAGCTGATGGTGATGCCTTTCTTGGCCTGATAATTCATCGCGTTCCTCTTTATTGGCGATATCAATTAACTCAAAAGGCGGGAACCTGAACATACCTGCCCACGACCCCCCTCATGCAAATCGGATTTGGACTAATCAGAAAACACACAACTGGAGCTCGCCTTAGACAAATACAGTATATGCAGCTCAGCAAGTTACAGCAAGAGCCTGGAAATGTTGTCTATCTTTAAAAGGAAAAGCGTGTAAGAGGAAACTCTGTCAAAGGGGTGAAGTCATGACTAGTATTTCCTCTGTGAGGGATTTTTTTTATATCACATGAATCATTGTTTCTTTATGCTCTCACTGACACCTGAGTAGAGAGAAACTGCTTGCATGTTTTTCACTTGTATTGTGTATTGGATATTTGAGGATTTATATGCTGCTGGTCAGACACAACTGATGTGACTGCATTATTCTCTTAGAAGCATCAAGAGATGCATTTCTTTCTTTTACATGCTTTCATTTTTCTAGGTGCAAATTAGGCAACATTTGACATTGCATAGATTAAAAAAAACAGGAATCTATCTGTTGTCCATTGCTGCTCCAGATCCTGCATTACGTTATACTTAAGATATGACGAGATAGAATAAAACGATGCATTTATCCAACTGCCAGAGGTTTGGGGAAGATTTTAGATTCCAGTTGGAGGCAAAAAAAGCATGTTCTTTGCATAACAGAGTCGATGATATCACAGTGTCTGACTCACTGCCACATTCTTCTGCACATCTCACATTACATGCTTTGAAATAACAGCGCACTGGATGCACTAGTCTGCACTGCAAGTAAACATGGCTCCCCCGCTCCTCACCCACTGAGCTGGTGGGGTTATGAAACCTCACAGTGCTGCAGCCTGGAGGCAACTGGGCTTCACCAGGACAGGTGACCCCCTCACTCTGTGTCTATGTGTCTTTTTTGCTCTCTCTCACTTAGTCCACTTCAGCAGCATCACAGAAAATAAGATGTCACGATGCCTTCACATCATCACAGGCACATTATTCTGCAAAAGCAACACAACAACAGCCAATGCATCATCTGTGTCATCGACAACAATCACAGCAACCCACTTCTGCTCTTCATTAAATATCATGGGCATTAAGGTGATGCAATGTTTTTCCTCTTCTCCTCCCTTTCTCTCATAACTTGGACTCTGCTTCCAAGTTGTTTTTTTCTCCTCCTTATCCTCTTATCAGACAATCGTTGCTGCAGTCAGCCTCCCTCACTGTGTGGAACCAAACAGAGGCTGGATGTCTGAGTGCAGGCGGCGTGATGAACACACTGTTCCCCCAGTCCCAGTAAACATCAGAGCAGGGAAATCATCCAGACAATCGGCCTCAAAAACACTTTCTCCACCAAAAACACATGCAGATCTACCGAGCAGCAGCACAGACATGGACATCTGGTGAATGGTGAAGTTGTGTTACAGTTGTTTTGTTGACAAACGATGAATAAAACGTGGAAACATTTGGACATAGTTTGGCTGCTCCACAGAGAGAGCTGCGGGGTCATGTGGTGTGTATAGTGGGGAAGTGACCAACCTTCACAGGGGAGCTCCGGGTGGGCACAGGCAGCTCTCGGATCGCGCTGCCCGGAGGGGAGGCGGACAGCCCGGCCGCGTAACCCTGCAGGGAGCCGCCGGCCAGGGACTGCCTGCCGCCGGCTCCCACTCCTCCGCCTCCCCCGCTGATGCTTCCTCGCTGCGGCCGCTGCTTGATGCCGTCCAGAAGGCGGACCAGCAGGATGTTGGCGGGCAGGTCGTCCACCCCGCAGTCCACCAGGATGCGGCACTCCGGGCAGCGCAGCTCGTTCCGGGAGCTGACGATGTTCTCCAGGCAGCGGCGGCAGAAGGTGTGCTGGCACGGCAGCACCTTGGCCGTGGTGTCCAGGCGCTCCAGGCACACCGAGCACTCCAGCAGATCCAGCAGCGACGAGGACTCGTCCATGTCGGCGGAGAGGGTGAGCATCTGGGCTTCAGTGGCCGTGGGGACGCCGCGGGGACTGGTTAGTGGACCGAAGAAGAAGGAAGGAGCCGCCGCCGGGGGCACAGAGCATGCCGGGCAGCAGCGGAGCGCAGCGGAGCGCAGCGGCGGGAAGCAGCTCACGGACGCCTCCGCGACGGAGTCCCCCGTGCGCCGAGCAACGAAGTCCCGTGTTGTGTTGTGAGTGTCTCCGCTGGTCCGATCCTCTCCGTGTCTCCCCCAACTTGTTTCTGAGCCTCTCGTCCTCCCACTCTCCCTCTGTGTGCGTACCTCTCTCTCCCTCTCTCTCTCTCTCCAGCAGCTGTGCAGAAAGCGGTGAGGTCACGCTCTCATCATCACCATCAATCGCGCGCCGATCACAATTGCAGCGCGCGTTCACGCACCAGGGAAAGATTGATGGGACACACACACACACGTGCACACACACACCTCCAACAGAGCCCACAGGTTATTATCAGGTTTTGTCCTCCCCCCCCCCCTCTCTCCAAGCGGCCTCCCCATCAGAAGTTAGTCGTGTTGGAGTTGTTCTGCAGACAGAAGCACCAGGTCTTACAGCAGGTGTCTGTCCATGTGTTATCTCACCCTGTGACGATCACCTGACAGGAGCACACATTCATTTCCTCTTAACTTCATCCAGCTGAAACACATGAGCTGTGGGAGGGGGCGAGGGGGCGAGGGGGGGGTGTGGTTTCTGACGACGCCTGGTGGCCACCAGTTGATTTTTTTTCTGCTGTAAACTAAAAAGATCATCAAATTGAAGTAAAACCCTCCTGTTTGGTCATTTTTGGTGATATAGATGCAAAACAATGACAACATGAGACAAAGTAATATAATAATAATGAATAAAATACTCAAGTGTGATTATATATAGAAGGATTGTAGTCAAGTGAAAGTATACAAAACTTTGTAATTTACAAAAATATTATGAGTCACATTGTGTATCATGTCCAAGACCACATTGTCATAGAAGGTAAATTGTCTCATATTGGGACATGATTAAATGGTAAATGTTAATATCAAGATTTAAAAAAACACAGCATTGTGTCTGAAATATTCCCTTAAGGATAAATATTATCATTTGTGATGGATACTACACAGATGTGTGAGTGTGTGTGTGTGTGTGTGTGTGTGTGTGTGTGTGTGTGTGTGTNGTGTGTGTGTGTGTGTGTGTGTGTGTGTGTGTGTGTGTGTGTGTGTGTGTGTGTGTGTGCTGTCAGCCATGACTTGCAAGCCTGCTTCACCTTTCCACCTGTTCAGACCTGCTCAGCTCTAACATTCAGGCCCACAGGGATAGGGAGTGATTAAGGCACATGTGTGTGTGTACAATTGTCCCTGTGTACATAAGTGTGTGTGTCGGTGTGACACAGTGACGCCTTCCTGGGTGGGTGTGGGTGGGCCCCCGCTATTTACCACCCACGGTGAAAAGCAGAGGGTGGACTGCTGAGGCGTAGAATGAGGGAGGAGGAGGGTGAGCATGTGGTGTGCAGTCTCAGCATTGATACTGAAACTGTTGTGCACTGTTATTCTTTTCAAAATAAAAGTCACAGCATTGCCATGGTTTTCTATTGTATTTAATAATGACAGTATTCTGCTAGTAACCCATATTCTCTCCGTTGTGCCAGAGAAGGCCAGTCTGTGACCCCATGACTCCTCCAGCCATTCAAACTACTTTTGTTGTTGTGGTCCTTTATTTTCCTGTAGTTTAAGCTTCTTTATCTCCTCCCAGCACTGTTTCCTGGTGTGGTGGATGTTTCCTTGTCGGTCTGTCAGTCATGATCAGAACTGTAAACTCAAAACTGTCAGTTAGCCGCTTCAGTTTTTAAGTATTGCAAGAACCACCCCAGAGGTCCTGAACTCTTGAAAAGTGCTAACCCCTGACAAGGGACTATTTGGGAGGGGGGTAAAAAAGGTTTTCTTTGAATTTTATTTAGATGCTCGTTCCTGCAAAGGTTCTTTGTTCCAGGGGAAAGTTCATGTACATTCTCTATAAGATACTGAGTGATGGTGCATACAATGACAAGGCAAAATCCCAGATAATAATAATAATAATATTATTTATTTATAAATCACCTTGCTGTCAAGGTGCTTTGACAGCAAAGCAAAAGGCAAATACAAGAGCAAAATATAGGAAGCAATGTGACAGGGAGGCCAGACATAAACATAAGAAACAAGAACTATGTTGCATACAAACTTAATCACATAAAAGCAGTAGAGAGACCAATCTATAAAATTGTGCTTTAAGAAGTGATTTAAAAGAAGTCACTGACTTTGCAAGCTTTATCTTCTCAGGTAGGTCGTTCCGAACAGCCGAGAATCTGAGGCTCAAAAGGGGTCAAGATGAGGTGGCTTGGGGCCAGGCCAAGGCGTGCTTTAAAGGTGATCAGTAAAATCTTGAAAATCAATTCTAAAATGGACAGGGAGCCCAAGGAGAGAAGAAAGGATGTGGCTGATGTGATGTCATCTGTTAGAACCAATAAGAAGCCTACCTGCTGCGTTCTAAACTAGTTGGAGGTGGGAGAGTGACGTATGGCTTAAGCCAGAATAAACAGGATTGAAACCCCTGCAGGTCTGGTATAGGTCATACAGTACACACCTACTGTATGTGATCATTTCCTTGTGGCTGGGGATGCAGAATAACAGGTTATATTAGGCCCTATAATCCAGAGACAATCAGATGCAAGAAGACCTTGAATTCACTACTGGGAGAAAAACGAATTATTCTAAAAATGAAGTGAAGGTCAAGTCTTTTGTTCCACTACTGTGATTCACTTTATCAACTCAGCTGTGGGAGGAAGCTGCACTTCATCTATAGAGACCTGCCATTTCTCTGGGCTGCGTTTGAATCCCTGTGGCTGCAGCATACTGGAATACAACAGTTTAGTACTAACTGTAAAGGTGTGTGTGAGTGTGTGTAAATTGTCGTTGTCATACCCTGACTCTGAATGCCTCTCTGCAGCGCAGCGGCCCACAAGCACTGGCAACAAGCCCAAATTCACAGCTCCTCTCTCTCTCTCTCTTTATCATACCCACTCATGTCAGGCCCAGTGCGTTTCATCTGCTTAATACAATTCTCCACAGTCAATGATTCAGAATTAGAGGGGAACTACAGGGAGAAGTGGACAAATACAAAATGATTATTGGATGAAAATCCCCTCAAACCATTTAACTGGCATAGTTGGGGCTCCCTGTAGGAAGCCAGCGTTGTCAATAACAGACAAAAGGTGGATGCTGTTAAATAGTGGACGAGCCAATTAGGGACAGAATATAGTCTTTTAGAGATAGAAGGGTGAAAGAGGTCTGTGTTCAAGGGTTTCACACATAAGTAATCTTCATTTAAAACTAAAGAGAGTATCTCTGAGGCTACAGGTAAACATTTACAGTGTGTTTTTGTGGATGTGAGTTACAACCTTGCCAGCTTTCCTCCCAAGTTTTCCCCCTCAGTTAGTCCATCTGTGTGTTTCAATTTCCTTCTAATTTTCATTAACTTCTCTATAACTTCTTATATTTGGAGACGTACCCCGAAGACTTGTTTTTAGTTATTTTCCCCTTTCCTCAAAATTTGCTCTTTGTTTTTTTACCTTCATAAGAGTAGAGAGTCAGAGTTTGGTGCTCAGCTTGCTTCAGGCTTGGCAAGGTTTGTTAGATAGGCCTATTTCATTTTTTAGCGTTTTATGCACTGTTTGGAAATAAATGAAAGAAAAACTTCACTGTCTTTATTAAATGTAATCCAATGTTTTCCTTTGGGTAATCCTTGTTAAGAGAAGCTATGAAAATAAATATGAGTTGTGCCAGATGTCGGTTGTGTGTTGAACTGACATCAACTGCACCTGCATTCATATTCTTTTTTCCTTCTGCACTATAAAATAGAATAATAATCCCATCATGTCTCAGCAAGCACAAGAGTTCTCCCACAATCTACGATCAAATATAATGAATATGTAGTGTGTGTGTGTGTGGATTCTCTTCACACACCTATACCATACACCTCTCTCTCTCTCTCTCTCTCTCTCTCTCTCTCATCAACCAATGTCCTTCGTTCACGCAAAAGTAGGTTAGCTGACACAGCAGTTACCATGGCAACTGGCTCTTTGCTTCCTTGTTGAAGAGTAGTAAGAGGGTGAGTGTGTGTTCTCACAGACCAGACAATGTACACACGAGCGGGAAGCTAACCGGGGTACTAACAAGGTCAGACAGTTTGAAATAGGTTCATTTGTACAGTGGGAAAACAAACACAGGGGAATACTGAACTTTTATTTGTACAGTTTGATGCAGTGTCAGTTCATAAACAGGTGTTCATCTGTGAGGTAATACATCTGACTTTTAGTTGTTTAAAAAGATAAATTAAAAAATCCTGGATCCACACCAAAATTGATTTGGCCCATGCTACATCTTTCCACCAAGTTTCATGGAAAGTATTTCTGTCGGAATCTTGCTTACAAACACACATACAAACCAACTGAGCTTAATATAAAACATCGTTGGTTATTTCAGTTTATCTTTCATTCTTTTATTTATTTTTTTCTTTGGCTCCTTCCTCGGAAAAGTAGTTAACCGCTGGACCACATTTCCAACTTCTCCTCCCAGAGTTCACGTCTCTGCCAGGGGAGAAACATAAAAAGCACTAGGAAGTTTGTTTTTAATGATTTTTGCTGCTGAATTGAGTTCATTATATCAAGCAGCAAATGAAGTCTCCACTGACTGCTGTCTTCTCTGAGTCACTGCACTTTGATGTGCTGCTCGAGGGGGGAGGTTAAAACCACGATACCCAGTGTGTGACAGCTGCTACACTTTGAATCTTTGAAACTCTGATCTACTACATTAATGCATGTTGAACTCCGGACTTTATAGAGACTCAAAATATATTTCAATAACGATTCATTTTATTCACAGAGCAAATTATCATGGCTCCAATCCTGATTTCTTTAGGACCATTTGATAAAAGCACAGCCAAAACAAATCACTGCTTTTCCGAATATTTGTCTTTTTTTTTAGCATTGGAACAGACGTATGTTTATTTGTTTATTTATTAGGATCTTCATTAGCTCGTCTTTCTGGGGTCCAACTTAAAAGCATATGAACATTTAACTAATTTGAAACCATACTACGACGCATCAAAAAATACATAAAGACAACAATCTTTATTGACACACCGAAAAAGTATGCCTAATGATGATAAATCCATCCATCTATTAATTGCAACACATATAAATATATAAATAAAGATATAGATTATAGTTCAACAAGATTATGTCCAACAATCCAAATGGTGCATTCACAAATAACACGGTGAAGAAAATAAGAGATGTCCCGCTGTGTTGTTCATGAAAGACAAACAGTGGAAAAAATAAGGATCCAATTCTCCAGAGATCCTCTGCAGGACATGTCTCAAGACACGGCTCAAGGAAATCAAATCAGAGCTGAATGGCACAGTTTTGCTTTTCGTGACTTCTTGAAGTTTGATTTTAGTTGGTAACCAGGCTGAAAAACTTCTACACAGAACAATTGGTTTTAAACAGTTAGTTTGTGGGCGATAGGTAACAACAGCTGACCAGTCCTGACATGTCCATAACAAAAAAAGAGGCTGGCTGCAGAGGGCGCTGTTGCTCAAAAAAGTTACAGTGTTGCTTTAAGTCATTCAAGGCATATTTATATATACATGCACTTTTACATATCAGTTAGCATGAAGAACAAGAGACTTGAATTATCAATCATTGTTTGCCATATAATCATTTATGTAGGTAAATCTACACGTTGAGATGTTTCAATACAGCCTAGGACAAACACTTTCAATCAGAAACATTTTATTTTAAATTTCAAATGTATTATTTGTGTGTCTGTTATCAACTTTGTTTGTTTCTTTGCTGTATACTAATTTGTGATGCTTAAAGAATCGCATTACTGCTCATCTATGTAAAATTAAGCTGCATGTATCTCAGCTCATCTCATTTAATTTATGTTGTATTATCTCAACATATCATTTTGTTACATCCTATTTCACCTCATGCAAAATCATCTGTTGTTTTTCCTGTTGCACTGTCCGCGTGTGTAAATGCAGGTTTTAAGTTAATATGTATTTTTGTCTGGTCTGTGACTGCGCAGCCATCATTCTCTCAGCAGAACTCTTCGCTCTCCTTGTTATCCTCCTCTTATCCCCTCTTTTAATCTAATCTCCTCTCCTCACATCCTCCTTTCTCAGTCAGGAAGCCCCTGGATCAACATCAATAACACTGTGAAAAAAACCGAGGGAGACAGAAAGAGAGAGAGAGAGGAAAGAAGTTAAACAAGAGGAGGATGGAGCGAGAAAAGGCCCAAACAGATGGACAGACGGATGGGGAAAGTGGAAGAAAAAAAGAGTATGACCAAAACAGAAAGTGATGGAGATAAGGAGGAGGAGAAAAAGAAGGTGCAGAGAGGAAGACAGAGACTGTAAGTAATTACAGGACTCCCTGTGTTTTCAAAGCTCCTCTTTTATATCCTCCTTCCTGTGGTTGAGAAGAAGAGAAGCAGCGGAAAGAGAGAGAGGAGGAGGAGGACTAAAGTCCAGCGTTAGATCTTCTCAGACAACAGGCACCAGTAGTCCACACACACACACACACGCACACACACGCACTCACACACGCACTGTGTGTGTGTGGGATAGCACTGGTAGTGGAAATGGCATTAGTTATTGTATTTAGCTGTGGAAGGTAACTTTGTAAGTACTTTTGAGCAACACTACATTTATTTGACACTTGTATTGACTTTGCAGATTGATATTCTACATAGAAACACATCTACATTTTTAAAAAAAAGTGTGATGCATTTATTCACATAAAATCACCCATCGGTATATCTACAGAGGCAATTACAACACCAACACAATGCTGCCTCCAGGTTGAGGCATCAGTATAAATTATATGCAACATTATAACTCTGACAGTGAGCACTGTTCTGCATGATTTACTTATTGACAACACTTGTACTGTCGCAGCTTAAACTGTCAATCAGGCCGAGCAAGTTCAAGAGTAATGCTGAACTGTAGATCAGTTAAAACGACTTAGAAGTCTTTAAAACATTGCATTTATCTCCAATATTCACGAGTAAACTTTTAAAATATCAAGAATCTAAACAGAGTTTGGTGTATTTGTTACAGCAGCAACTGTTCTGGTTCTGGAAGCCGGTGATCATGGGTAATATTGTTGTGTTTCGGTCAGTTCAGTGAGTGGGACACAGTCAGAGCTCCACTCAACACCATGAGACTTTGTTTTTTCTCTATGATAAAACCACTTAATCGCTCGGACATGGAGCCTGACAGGATGAATCTTCCTATCCATCTTTCTATCTATCTATCTGTCTATCCATCCATCCGTTCATCATTCCTGAACTGTGCAATGTTCATTCTGTCTGTGCAATACATTGGTTCATGTGCGATCCATTCACTGTACATATATCTCTTGT